GATGATGATGATGATGATGATAATGACGATGATGATGATGATGATGATGATGATATTCTATCTCTTTCTAAAAAACTCACCACTATACTTGAGGTAATTAAATTTTACCTGTATTTCTACTGCATCGTGCCCTGGCATTACATTGGTCTGCAACAAATTTGAGTTGCAGTTGAGTCAAAAGCGAGTACATTAACCAAGCAACTCGCTTTTTTGCGATAAATCGACTAACAAACATAATCTGTTCGTCATTCATAGACGCCTATGTTAGATTTCAGCAACTTTCTTGGGGTGATTTACGTATTCAAACATTAAATCGGACGCATTCTCCGGGATGAAATGTCAAGCGGTGATGAACAATGAAGAGGTAGAAGATGATTCAGCCGTAATACCCTTACGGTACCATACCACCTAAACGAAGCACGAGGGCTGGGATACTGCCAGGTTACCCAAGCCTATAAAGGGGAAGTCGAGAGGCAGAGGTCGGGTTCGAAACACGGACCTTCCGGTCAGTAGATTTGAGCCAATGGCTTCAATAAACGTTTCCAAATTGGAGTAAAACCGTCATGTAGTTCCTGGTTAATGCTTGTTTTGTCAAATTCGATTGCAACTCGTCCCGTGTTTCCACAATTTATGGAACTCTGTACATCCACCTTACTTCCATAAGCAAAGCTCACCAAAATGCGGAAGTTCATGGTTCAAGCCCATGTGTCATTTTAGGTCTGGTTACAAGCGCACTCACTCTGCATTCCAAGAAGTGTGACTTTCCCGAAAGAATATCGTACGGAACAGATTCAGCCAAGAATTCAGTTGAGTGTCTACTGAAAGCCATTCTAAACTGCGTCAACATGCACGCGTTTTTTTTTCGTTGACTATCTGCCCATCGTGTTCCCGTCGTTTTCACTAATGGCTCACCAATGGTACCACTGCGTCAAATGCACGCGTTTTTTTTTCGTTGACTATCTGCCCATCGTGTTCCCGTCGTTTTCACTAATGGCTCACCAATGGTACCGACAGATATCACGTGATAGTTCACCAGCAAGAAACACAACAAATCGCATTGAAGTTCAAACAGATAAATTTGATCAAGGATCAGTAAGGAGGTTAGCATAGACGGTTGAATCATTCAATTTTTGTCCCTTGGAACGAATCCTTCTTATAAACGATAGGTGGAATTCCAAATGAGGAAGGTTTCATCGTTGACAGTAAAGCTTCCCAAAAGGAAATAAGTAGATTGCGAGGTTGAACGAAAGAACCGATTGGCAACATTGGATTTGACCATCACACTAAATCACCGTTGAATTTATATTAGAAAATCCCGCTGACCGATGAAGATATACGTGTCTTACTACCGACAGGTGGGAATATTTCCCATCATTTTGCTCGGGTTTGAGCCTTTGCTTAGGGCTTGATTTTCCGGTTCACATCATTTCAATGACAACTTATGTAAGGTCTCATTTGGAAATTTCGTAGGTCTGTGTGGATTCGTGGGTATTAGGATAGTTTTGTTGAGAGGTGGGTAGACGTAGACTTTTGGTCAGCGTTGGCTGTGTACTTTTAGTCCGAACCACTTGTCTGGATGACTTCTCGTCACCCATAACCTCATACCACCACGCGGCAATTCAATTAATCTGGAACCAATCTATAGTGAAAAGCCGAGAAGCACTGTAGAGCTGTTTCATTCTTAGTGGGAATCATCAGCAGTGCGCATCTCAAGAAACTCCCGAGAGTCGAAACCGCGCCCTCCCGGCTTGACCGTTTGGCCACGGGCGGCTGATCAGCGGTGTGATTAACTCGCACTTAGACAGGACATAGCGCTGCTCATTCTTCAACCACGGGATCCACATCGCGTGGTCACACGTGCTGACTCGCTCCTCGAGCAACGACTTCTCAGATGAAGTTTCACTCATCGGGTGAAGTTTATTCTTCCACTGAGCCACTTGTAGGCGAAACCTCCACAAAAAACAATTCCGCTCACACTAACAACGATCTAGAACAAGTCTACAAAAGCTCACCATTCATACGCCTCTTATTCCGTTCTGCCATCTCCATCGCGTATGCCACCATTCGCCACGATATGGATCATGTCCCTCGCCTCAGAACATCAACATTATCTAAGTCTATTTTCAATCGTATCTGGTGTACTTCCGGTCACTTTCGAGTTTCTCAACGTTTCTGTGCGTTTCTTGGCTGCCGTTCTGTTCTTTTCTGGTGTTCGTAGATCGTGAGGTGAAGTTTTCTATCTGTATGTTCTCTAGAGAGCGATAATGCAGACAAAGTCCTTGCTTCTATCTGGGTGCGGTCGTATCAGCGCACTTGAGTAGAGCGTACTTACTCTTCCAACCGGAACACCAGCCTCACGTCAGGCACATTAAGGATCCCTCTCAGATGACTTCAATACCTCCGGCTTACATGAAGGTTCCTCACACGATCTTGCCATAGGTGCCAATATCCTTCAGTTTTATCTGAGCCCATTTTTTGGCCAACTTTTTGTGTGCAGAGGGCCCTCATTTGAATAAAAGCTGACAGGGCAATACTAGTGGCCACCGCTTTAGGAGTGCCTAGTGAGTACAAAATTATCGCAGTGCAAGCTGGCTTCTGGTACACCGTAACTTGCGTTTTTCCACTGCCTCTTACATGTCACACAGTCTAGCCTAAATACAACAAGCCGAGTCAAGGAGGTACTGAAAAGTCCAACTCCGAGAAGATATCTACACCATCACCTTGTTCGACCTCAATACCTCTTTTTTAAAGTAAGGAAATTTCCAAATCAATAACTGATGGTCGATAACACTCAAACACCGAACGTTGGAGATTAGTTTGCCCGTATACGGCACAAACTTTTTAGTACAAGCATTTTTGAAGCACGTTTAAATGCAGCGAATATACACTTATTTGCAAACTAATTTAGTTTTACGAGAGACTCACCTAAATCTCTCGTTTATGATGTTCCCAGGCAACTGAATGTGCTGCGTCAGACCGCCTCATGTTTCAGTTGTTACGATGTTTGAGATACCGCGATACATGTATATCATTGGGATGTACTACTCATAAGGTTGCTGAAAATCCCTCGACAGCCCATGACCGGTTTCGCCCGTTTTGGGGCTCATCAGGTAGGCGCAGTCCCCGAGTTTCCATCAACTTTCTGCTCTACGTGAAACCAAATTGCATTAAATTAGTGATTACACACTCATTTAAGAACTAATTCGAGTACTCCATTACAAATACACATTTATCGCGATATCTCGAATATCGTAGCGACTGAAACATGAGGCGGCCTGGTGCAGCACATTCAGTCGCCTGGAAACATCACAAACGAGAGATTCAGTTGGGTTCCAGGTGAGTCTCTCGAAAAACCAAATTAACTTGCAAATGAGTGTATATTCGCTAATTTCGTGCAATTTGGTTTCAAGTATAATATAAGGTTAACGGAAACCCGGGGACTGTACTTACCTGATGAGCCACAAAAAGGGCGAAACCGGTCGAGGGCTGTCGATGGGTTTTCATCAACCTGATGAGTAGTACATTACAAAGTTTAAATGTAATTCAAGCCAAACTTTAGAAAACGTCGATAACCAAACACTTTGTTTAGAACTCTCATGAGGTGCTTAGATTGCAAACCCGAACGGTGTCCGTTAACTTTTAGAGTGCTCCCAACGCAGCCCCTAAACTGACTCGTCACTGAGGTTTTAAAAGACCAAGATAATGCAATAGGATCTGCTTGACTTCCGTTAGATACTTCACATTGATTGTCGGCTTTGTGTTAAAAAGCCGCGCACAGTTAAACTCGGGGTCCTAGACAGAGAACCACAAATTTATTCTCCCGTCAGCATCATTTTCAGTCACGCTTTACTTTGGGAAGATCGGCGCGGAGAAAATATCGTCAGGTTTTATTCCAAACAACCTCACAAGTTGGCGAAAGACACTCATTTGCAAACAAATTTAGTCTTGCGAGATACTTACCTGGAACCAAGCTGAACCTCTCATTTATAGTGTTTCTAAGCAACTGAGTATGTTGCACCAGGCGGCCTCATGCTTCAGTTAACAGGATATTCGAGATATCGCGATGCATGTATAGACATAATACACTACTCATAAGGTTGTTGAAAATTCTTTGACACCCGACGATCGCTACTTTCGTGCAATTCGGTTTCAAGTAGAACATAAGGTTGACAAAAACTCGGGGATTGAGCCTACTTGATGAGCCCCAAAAAGGGCGAAACCGGTCGTGGGCTGCCGAAGAGTTTTCAGCAACCTTATGAGTAGTGCATTCGGTCTCAAGTTTAATACTCCAAAGCAGATCAAGGTAACATCAGTCCCTGGGTCTTCCTGGAACTGTACACCATTTGAAAATGTACGCAGGACTTCGTTTAGTTGGATCAAGCAAGAATTAACTTCGACAGAAACTCGAGGACTACATCAATCTGATAAGTTCCAAGAAGGACGAGTAGTCGAAGAGTTATCGGCAATCTTAAGAGTAGTGTTGTTCATGTGCCTTTCGAGTTTTTCCAAAAACGTAAAATCAGCTGAATAACCCTGAAAGCGACAAGTGACCCGCTAGGACATTAGTGGTAAGGGCATAATTAGTTTTTTACTCACACATTATGATGTATGCATCTTTTACAAACTAAACGATGTGTAAATTTGTCCCGCCCACGCAGTATGGTCGTGTTAGTGATCTGACTGATCACCAGGTGACAAACACTAACAAATGTCTGTTTTATCAAAATGATGATGATTTCAAAAGTAATGTGCATTTGATAAAAATAAATACAATGCTAGAAAGGAATAAGCCAAAAGGAGACTTATCGTTTGAGGACACGTGTTGAGAGTTCCTGAGTGAAGTTTCAGGCGCGGGACGTGTCTTCTCGGCAGTATAGCTCCTACCTATGTTCCGTAGTTAACCGTGGAAACTTGTGGAGCTCTGCTGACTTCCTGTCCTGTGCGAGTGCGTATTTCGGCCGAGTTGCATCTGTATTTACTGTGTGCAGCATGAAGAGTGAGGTATCTACTCGTGTTTGATAATTGCACCAACATGGATACAACTTGACCTGATGTGGCCGAAGTTCGTAAGTCTGGCGGATGACGCAGGTGGTAGCCGCGTAAATGAAACATGGATGGGAAATTGTAGTGTACATTTTGTTGACTGAGGAACCGGTTGTGACATGAGTTGAGTGTTTGTGGCGCGTGATCTAGTGAGTGAACACAATAGTCGGTCTCGGAGAACAATACTCGCTGCAGTTGCATGTCAGCAGCCTTCCAAGCATCGTCATCACTTTCAATGACAGCAACACAACCTAAGAACACTAGTTTTCACTACTTTAAAACAATATCAGTGTAATATGTAGTTGATCATTACACCAGGTTTTGGGAGCAATAGGTAGAAGCGGCTCAGTCAGACAGTCGCCAGTTGCCCAGTGCATGCGCACACACTGTCGATCGTTGTATTCCGATCGGCACCGGTTCGCAAAAAATTATTAGTTTTGGCTTCCGACAAACACATACATTTGCAAATCAATTTGGTTTTCACGGGATACTCCAGTGAGTCCGTCGTTTACAAGGTTGCTGAAAACTCATCGGCAGCCCACGACCGATTTCGCCCTTCTTGGGACTCATCAGGTGGGCGCAGTCCCCGAGTTTCCGTCAAGCTTATGTTCTATATGAACCAAAATTGTACTGATTGCGACAAATACACTCATTTGCAAAGCAAATCAATTTTCATGAGAAACTCAACTGAATCTCTCGTCTATGATATTCTACAACTGGATGTGCTGCATACAGGCCGCCTCATGATTCGATTCAGAGCACGATATTCGAGATATCGCAGTATATTTTCATAAAGGAAACTACTCACAAGGTTGCTGAAAACTCTTCGACAGCCCACGACCGGTTTCGCCCTTCTTGGGGCTCACCAGGTAGGCGCAGTCGCCGAGTTTCCGTCAACCTTACGTTCTACTTGAACCCAAGTTGGACTGTTTTCGAGAACTACACTCATTTGTAAATCAATTTGGTTTTCACGATTACTAATTTCTGTCTCTCTGTGATGCGACTAACACCAGCGTTGAAACTGACTACGTGTATTTGCACAACATGATCACATTTGATCGTTAGAAGGGCGAAACCGGTCATGGACCGTCGAAGAGTTTCCAGCAACCTTGCGAGTAGTTTCCTTTATGAAAACCCTACATTTTCCCACCGCCTCGTGAGTCAGGATTTTGAGTCAGAGGCTCAAGGTGGGGTACCTGAACCAAATC